TGATTTTGTTGTTTTTTTTTGCCATGTGGATTTCAACTATACTTTTTAGATTTAAAAAAAAAAAAAACAATTTCATTATTTTTTTGGAGGAAATGTATAATTTTGTTTCTTTGTGTAAGTGGATAGTTCAATGTATTTATATTCTTTAATTTTAATGGAGAACATCTGTAAAAAAAAAAAAAAAAGTGTAGATATCTACTGGTCAATAGGCACCAAGGCCTGAAAGAAATGATCGGATATTACTACAATATTAGTCACGCTGGTTTAGTGTCTTCAAAAGAGACAAAATGATATTAGGTAAGAGTTGGAAGACTGTGCACTTGTTGCAGTATGGACATTCTATAAGATCGAACACGCAGTATTCTCCAGAATATAGATAAAATGACTAGGGAAGTGTATTCCAGACACGCACGTCTTGAAGTGGCTGTTCAGGTGACCGGCCTTTCTCCGATCTAAGTAAAACAGTGATTTTACTCAACTTTTCTCCCACGACGCACCAGTCTCACTGCAGCTGCCCCCACCTGGTTCCACCCTCATGGCTGAGGTAATCATTTTTGAGATCATCAATCCCAAAGGAGGCTATTGAGCATGTGCTCCAAATGTCACGCTGTGCCAATCAGCATCTCCTCATAGCGATGCATTGAGTCAAGTCATCTCTATAGGGAACAATCAACGTCTCCATGCATAGTTTGCAGCACTGGACTAGGAAGCACCTGTAGTGGCCGTCTGAGTGACTGCCACTGGAGGGGCTACTAGGCAGCAAGGTAAGCACTGCCTTTTCCATGACAGTTTACAGTGCTCAGCCTGCAGGGACAGGCTATAGACCTGAACAACTAAGTGAGCATGTAGTGGTTCTGGTGACTATAGTGTCCCTTTAAATGCCTTATTTACTTTATAATCTGATTTTCATTACTACTGTATTGGTTGTATCTTAAACAGCTGAAATCACTGACAGTTTTAAGCAATAACACATTGGACCTTTTTATTAAGGCCAAATTGAATTAAGAAACAGGATCCTTGCATTAGTTTCTCTGGCATTTTTTTCACCTATAGAACTTAGTTCCAGCTTAGTATTGATAAATATAGAACTGGATATATTTTCATTCTTTTTACTCTGCACTTTTTATGGAAGCTGTTTAGGATGCTGGTGTTGACAGCTGGCAGCTGGCGTTACCCCCACTGTAATTGGCAGCAGATCGAGAAATGAATGGCATGCACTGAATGTCATTAGATCATATCTCAAGCTACTTAACATGACTGTGACTAAGCACTGCCTCATCGTAGCACAGTACTTATGGTGAACAATAAACATTGTATATATGTGACTGTACTGGTAGTCTATGAGACATTACAGAGAATACGGTTTATTTAACCCTTAACTTGTTCAGTATAATATAGCATTTGATTTATTAGAATGATGCAACATGATAAAGTCAAATATTTATTTTTATCTGAGTACATGTCATATTAAAGGGAAACATAGCTCCGTATTATCTGATTTATTTTCATGCATCTTTACAATGCAATATTCAGACAGTTAGTAAACATTATGTTTATGTGATGTTTGTGTTTATTTGTGTGTTTCTGCATTGCATTTTCCTTATAATTTACTTTCTTGTTCTTATCTAAAATGAGATATAATAAAATGACCCGACAGGCTTTAATTGGCTGTGTTACATCACATGCCACAGGACTGCGCAGGAGTGATGAGGAATCGTCCACCACTTAGACTAAAGGAGAGATAAGGAGCTGGAACACAAACTGCTACTTCTGTAGGCAGTGAGGATAATATAGGGGACTGGGGAATACTACAGGGCAGGAAAGCTGAAGCAGAAGCAAAACTATATAAGTATACTTTAAAAGGGCACTCTAGGCACCATGACAATTTAATATCAATTAAGTTGTTATGGTGTGAGTATGTCCCAGGCACCATCCTACCTGAAGTTTCTAAACAGTTAACAAGCTGCATCCCAGCTCACAGTTGAGAAAAGTTCTATGTTAAAAGTATGTCTCTTTTTCACTCATTTTCCTCAGGTGGGAGCTACTGGATGAGAATATCAGTGGTGCCCGATCCAAGGCTTACTAACTAAAGCCTCAGACATTGAGAGGAAGTTCAGAGGCAGAGTGATCAGGTGCCGGCTTGCAGACTTTGAAGTTCAACCATTTTTTACCCTCCTTAGGCAAAACAGTGCCGGGACCTCCTCCAACCATGACAACTTCATTGTGTGAAGGAATACAAATCTACAGAAAAACAAATAATGGTGCAGACCATCTGGTAATGGTAAAATGGAAGGAAGAGTTATAGGAAATAAACTCACATGTCCCAGAGCCCTATCACCCCTGGCTCTGGGTTTGTAAGGCTTCTTGGAAGAGGGGATATCCCCACACTGCAGAATGATCCAAAGGATATATCCACTGGTGATTCCGTTAAACTGTGTGTAAAAGAGAAGGGCAGGACCTCCAATTGAATAATATCACAATTCGATTTATTGTTTAAAAAAAAGTAAAAACCCTTACTTTGAATGTGGTGGGTATAAACTCGCAGAGTCACCCACATAAAAGCATAAAACAGATATACACGAAATACGCTTCCTGGTTGTAGTCCGGTCACGTGATCGCTTCCGGGTCCGCCCTCCAATGACGTCTGTGTGACGCGTTTCGCCCGCCTCCACAGGCTTCCTCCGACGACGTCAGGGGGTTCCAGTCATCCTTTTAAGTTCATAGTGCCGCCCTCCTCTCATTCCATTGGCCGGGGGGCGTGGTTTCGCACGATCTTTTTTTTCTCAATCATTATCCATCAAACATTCAACTGCACATATGTGGATTGCATTCCACTGCGATAGACTTAACCCCTTATAACAACCAAACCACACTTAGGGGCAGATTGATTATATTCTAACACACACTAAAAACTAAAAACTTCCACATATGTGCAGTTGAATGTTTGATGGATAATGATTGAGAAAAAAAAGATCGTGCGAAACCACGCCCCCCGGCCAATGGAATGAGAGGAGGGCGGCACTATGAACTTAAAAGGATGACTGGAACCCCCTGACGTCGTCGGAGGAAGCCTGTGGAGGCGGGCGAAACGCGTCACACACGCGTCATTGGAGGGAGGACCCGGAAGCGATCACGTGACCGGACTACAACCAGGAAGCGTATTTCGTGTATATCTGTTTTATGCTTTTATGTGGGTGACTCTGCGAGTTTATACCCACCACATTCAAAGTAAGGGTTTTTACTTTTTTTTAAACAATAAATCGAATTGTGATATTATTCAATTGGAGGTCCTGCCCTTCTCTTTTACACACAGTTTAACGGAATCACCAGTGGATATATCCTTTGGATCATCCTGCAGTGTGGGGATATCCCCTCTTCCAAGAAGCCTTACAAACCCAGAGCCAGGGGTGATAGGGCTCTGGGACATGTGAGTTTATTTCCTATAACTCTTCCTTCCATATTACCATTGCCAGATGGTCTGCACCATTATTTGTTTTTCTTTATATTTACAGATTTATTTAGCGCGTTTTTGTGGTAATTATTGTTCTGCTTTTCACATTTTTGTGTATTGTATTTTGTAAACGCTGCCATATCATCTGTATGGGATTTTTAGCGCTCACATATTGGCTTCTTTGTGTTTCTAGTTCACTATATTAGCCTGGTGCTGTATTGTGTTCTGTTCTTGTGAGCTTGCTGGGAAATCTACTATGTCTATATTTGAGGTAAGAAGTAAATACTGTTCCAATCTGGATAACATTTTTGGGGAGGAGATAATCTGTGATACTCCTAATATCCCCAGAACAATACCTGAATTATGTAAGGATTTACAAAAACTACTTATTAAGGAGCTAAAAATAAAGTGGGAAATCGCCACATTGGAACAATATATTAAAGAGGAAATGGTACCAAGGGGGTTACGATTCAATAAAACACCCACCTTTGATAGAGATAAGGAGGAGTTTATGGAGGAATGGGATCAATATCTAAATGCGATATCTATAGGCCTTATCAAAATCATCGTTAAGAGGAGACAGTTGAATCTCAGGGAACTAGATATGAAGATAAGAGCTATTAAAGAACTTCTACAGCCTTTTTTAGAATCTAGAGAAATGGAAAAACACTCAGAAGAGATTGTGGAGGATATGAATAAAATAGAGAGGGAAGTCATTTTGATTAAAAAGAAAAAATATCAGAGGGACAAATCGGACTATATGGGGAATAGAGTACATGCTTTCCATAGGGGGAATTTAGAAAATAGAAGGGAAAGATTGGAACCCCAGAACTATATACCCAGGAATGAGTACCCAGTAAGGAAATATGAGGAGAACAGACAGAAATATAAACAAGGGTATGGACAGTACAATAGAGACAGGTATCAATACAGAAGGAGGAGAAGATCTTTTAGTGGTGGGAGACAGAATCAAAAGAGATTCAATTATAGTCAGCAATGGAAGTCAAATGCCCAAGGGAGGGATACCCCAATTAGGAAGCATGAGAGACAGCCTGCGAATAGACCCACTAGATATCTAATCAATAAAGAGGAAATTGAGAGGGATAGAAATCAAAAAACAGGGTCAGAACTCAATCTGTGGAAATCAGTTTCCTATGGACAGAATCGGAAGCCAACGGACTCCATGGAGTCCAATGGATATAAAAACAGAGATGTGACCCAGAGACGGGAAGAACATCCAAAAGATTTTTTAGATTGGGAACACAAAAGAAAAGAAAGAATCAAACTAAATCTTCCAAGCTCTCCATTAAAAAGAAGAATAGAAAGAGAGGAACAAGAGGGGGAAATAAGATACAGAGAAGGAAAAAGGGGAAGGATATAGAGATTAAGGGAATCTATAACCTTTCGAAACTGACATTAAATACAATGCAAAGTAGGGTACTAGCTAGAGGGATAAAATTCTGCCTAACAGCGAATGTGAACCATTTTTCAGTCTATATAGATCTTAAGAAATTTGTCCGGAAATTGTGTTTGAAACGCTTTTTTTCAGAGAGGGTGGATACTATCGGTGAATTGGGAGGAGATGTGCAATCAAAAGCACACAATCTCACCTCACTTAGAAAGAAATCCACCTTCTTTCCGAAAGGGTGTAAGACCAAATCAATGGATGCTTTTGAAGAACTAGTAATGCGAGAAGTAGAACGTATCAAAAGAATAGACAAGAATAGAATGAATTTAAATAAGGAAGAACAACAAGCTTTGGCTGACCTGAGAGAGAATAAAGAGGTTGTTATTAAACCGGCCGACAAGGGGGGTGGCATCGTCCTTATGGATAGAGAATATTATATAGAGGAGTCATTGAGACAACTAAACGATGGCATTACATACAAGAAATTGAAAGGTGACCCCACTAATGAGAAGAAAGCCATGTTTATGAATCTTTTGAATAAGGGTTTATTGACAGAGGTTATCTCTAAAACAGAATATGAGTACCTGGTGGTCACCTATCCTAGGATACCTGTTTACTATTTTCTACCGAAAATACATAAACATGAAACTAGACCACCAGGGAGACCCATAATTTCGGGGATAGGTTCGGTGTCAGCCCCCCTGTCGGAATACATCGACTTATGTTTACAGCCTCTGGTTAAAGAAACAAAAGCCTATTTGAGGGATACAAGTCAGATTCTACAAATATTGGAAGGGGTTGAGTGGAAGGATGGAGACATCCTCGTAACGGCTGATGTGTCCTCACTCTATTCAATCATTCCGCATGTCAAGGGCATAGAGGCTGTCAAATTCTTCTTGTCTACTTCAAGTTTATCTTTAGATCAACAAACATTCATTTTGGACGGGATCCACCTTATCCTGACCAACAACTATTTCCACTTTTTAGATTCCTTCTATCTACAGATCCTTGGGACGGCGATGGGGACCAGATTCGCACCCAGCTATGCGAACCTATTTATGTCCTATTGGGAAGAGTCCTTCATATATGGTGACCATGGCTGGGTGCAGAGCCTGGTCACCTATCGCCGTTACATTGACGATCTGTTTTGGATATGGAGGGGCTCTGTAGAAGAGCTAAATGCGTTTTTGACACATCTTAATTCGAATTCATGGGGAATCCAACTCACTATGGATTATAGTGATAATCAGGTCAATTTTTTGGATCTGCGCATTTTTATTTCCAACCATCAAATTCAGACAGAAACCTTCTTCAAGAAGGTGGACGTCAATAGCTTTATTTTTTATGACAGCTGCCACTACGGCCCGTGGCTGAATAACATCCCTAAAGGGCAGATGTTAAGGCTAAAAAGGAACTGTACTAGTGAGGAAACCTGTGAGACCCAAATCAATAAGTTAGTAGAACAATTCACAGTCAAGCACTACCCTCGGACTCTATTGGATAAGGCCCACAAGGAAGTGGGAAAGATAAATAGGAACAGGCTACTAGATAGGTCAAGTAGGAGGATGAAGAATAAGAGAAACACTAAGAGTGATGAGGTCTCCTTGATCTTTGATTACTCAGGGAAAAATAAGGATATAAAAAATATAATCAATAAATACTGGTTTATTTTAAAGGAGGACCCCCTGTTGGGAAAAATAGTTCCAAAGAAACCAAGGATCATCTACAGGGGGGTACCGAGTATCAAGAGTCATCTAGTGAAGAGTAGCCTTAGACAAGAAAACTCACATAAGAACTTCCTAAATCAAGATGTTGGTTTTTTCCAATGTGGATACTGCTTGGCGTGCAGAACCACTGGAGCCCCTAAATGTGTCAAAAAGGAACTGAGAGGGGGAAATACACAACAAGTATATAGCGTGAAACAATTGATAACCTGTTACACCACCAATTGTATTTATGTCCTCACATGCCCGTGCAATATGCACTATGTCGGGAAAACTACTCGACAAGTGCACATTCGTATTGAAGAGCACGTCCGCAATATAAGAAGAGGCTTTAAGGAACACCCCCTATCCTCCCACTTTATTCATAAACATCAGGGAGACGTTACCAAATTACAATTTATTGGGATAGAAAGAGTTAGTAGAAATTGGAGGGGTGAAAATTTGGACAAAAAATTGTCAAAACAGGAGATGAGGTGGGTGTTCAAATTGAAGTCGTTGTTCCCTAGAGGTTTAAATGGAGAGTTTGAAATTTGTCATTTTTTGTGAATACTAATCCTCTATGTTTTTTCTGTTCCCTTTTTTTCTGTTCCCTTTTTTACTTAATAGACATTTTGTCAATGTCCATGTTTTAACTGTTTTTGCTTTTTATTAGAGATAGGGATGGAGTGTTTTTAAAATAAGTATTTGCATTGTCTGTTCTAGATGATATTATATGTACAAATGCCATCCTTTTTGGAACTAATTTTATGTAAGGTCCTGTTTCATGTCTAAAGATATAGTTTAATGAGGTTAGAAAATCCCATTAGGATTACCATGCCGAATAGTCTGGATATGTCTCATATATACATTTGAAATATAAGTTGCTTAGAGTAGTAACTATGATGAATAGCACTCTGGAGTTTTTAGTGTGTGTTAGAATATAATCAATCTGCCCCTAAGTGTGGTTTGGTTGTTATAAGGGGTTAAGTCTATCGCAGTGGAATGCAATCCACATATGTGCAGTTGAATGTTTGATGAATAATGATTGAGAAAAAAAAGATCGTGCGAAACCACGCCCCCCGGCCAATGGAATGAGAGGAGGGCGGCACTATGAACTTAAAAGGATGACTGGAACCCCCTGACGTCGTCGGAGGAAGCCTGTGGAGGCGGGCGAAACGCGTCACACAGACGTCATTGGAGGGCGGACCCGGAAGCGATCACGTGACCGGACTACAACCAGGAAGCGTTTTTCGTGTATATCTGTTTTATGCTTTTATGTGGGTGACTCTGCGAGTTTATACCCACCACATTCAAAGTAAGGGTTTTTACTTTTTTTAAACAATAAATCGAATTGTGATATTATTCAATTGGAGGTCCTGCCCTTCTCTTCTACACACAGTTTAACGGAATCACCAGTGGATATATCCTTTGGATCATTCTGCAGTGTGGGGATATCCCCTCTTCCAAGAAGCCTTACAAACCCAGAGCCAGGG